ATGGTAGTGGAAAAATTGGAAATAACAATATGGAAATAATTAAGTAAATCATATGCTAGCACAAGGCACAGTTGTTGGAATAATATACAATTACTTATAAAATTATAGCACACAAATTATATAAAACATGGATTAAATATATATAATATGTTAGATAAAATGTTTTAAAGTCTATATGTATACATGGCATCTTTCCAACTTCACCCACAAGAGTGCTTTTAAATTTAGTACAGGACAACATGTCTATTTCCTCTGTGCAGGCAGCCAATTTCACTGTCTAGAGACAAGGAATATAATATTCTCCATTGAACTCTGTGCTTTAACTTACCTATTTCTTAGTCATAAAAGCATTATAATAAAGACCACACTAGAAATTTTTCAACTGTCAGGTTAGGAAGAAGTAAACGTTAGAATACCAGCAATAAACAGTAATCTTTAGGGTTGTAATAACTGAATATAAACTCTTTTATAAACTTTTCACACACAATGTCTTTAAAGTACATGTTTTTAAAATTTATATTTCATCTAGAAAATTTATTCTCAACACCTTTAAAAAGTCATTCTTAGTTATCATCAAAAAGATGAGAAATTAGTGCTGGCAAGGAAGTAAAGGAGAGGGAATCCTCATGAACCGTTGGTAAGAATGTAAATTGGTGCAGCCATGATGGAAAACGTTATGAAGGTTTCTCAAGAAATTAGAACTAGAACTGTCATATGATCCAGCAATCCCACTTCTGGGTATATATCCAAAGGAAATGAAATCTATGTTATTGCAAATATACTTACACACATACACACAATGGACTATTATCAGCTATAAAAAAGAAGGAAATTCTGTCATTTGCAATAACATAGATGAACCTTGAGGTCATTATCCTAAATGAAATAAGTCAAAAGGAGAAAGCAAATAATGTATGATGTCACCTATATGTGGAATCTTAAAAAGTCTGACACAGAAACAAGAGTAAAATGGTGGCTACCAGGCGCTAAGGGGAGGGAAAATGTGGAGATGTTGGTCAAAGGGTACAAACTTCCAGGTATAAGATGAACAAGTTCTGGGGACCTAATGTACAGCGTGGTGACTACAGTTAGCAATACTGTATTGTATACCTGAAAGTTGCTGAGAGAGATCTTAAATGTTCTCACCACCACCACCATACACACACAAAATGGTCATTATGTGAGGTGATGAATGCATTAACTAACCGTATTGTGGTAACCACTTCACAATGTATACATATATACATTCAAATCATTACTTCGTACACCTTAAACTTATATAATGCCATGTCAATTATATCTTGATAAAGCTGGAAAAAAAATCATTCTAAAAAAAAGACTTGCTTCTGGAAGAGAGTTAAGTTTTTATCTTTTGAACAAAGAATTAGCTAACAAAAGAAAAAGAAAAAAAATCTAGGATCAAATGGAAGATTTAAATTCACCTCTTCACTGATTTAAATATTTTCTTTTTAGGGAAAAAAAGTGAGTATTCGTTAAGAAATGTAATTAATATTCAGAGACTATCAGAAACACCTAAAGTCTATCAGCTTTAATTAAAGGAAGAAGTAACGGCTCACAGATGAAATTTCTTTGATTTTAGGATAAAAAAGAAAAAGCAAGAGACCAGAAAGTATCAAAGATGACAGCATCGAAGAAATAAGAAAGAAGCAGATACGTGAGTTTTTCATATGTTGAAAAAAGAGAGCTAGGAAAGACACCCAAAACAGCAAAAAAAAAAAAAAAAAGTCTCAGTTTGATTAGATTAAAAAGAATTTAGAAGTATTTTACACTTTTGGCCAAATAAGGATCTTTTAATGATCTTACTGTTGGGATAAGAGTCTTATAGCTGGTAGAGTTCCCTCCAGCCCACTCCAGATTTCTTTCTAATCTAATGAAAAGACAAGTACTTATTAACTATGCTGACAGTATATATAAAAAAGGCTGGCTACTTATCCTATCATAACCAGGTATTTCAAATGTCATTTCTATCTTATAATTTTAATTATAGGCAGAAATCACTGCTGAATTCTGTTTAATGCACATTTATTTACATATCCTTGATTGCACTTTTAAAGCTAAGGCATTTTCAGGGAGTAGATAGATCAGAAATTCATAATTTATATATTTTACAGAATTCAAATTAGACTGCCATATAGACAGACCTAAGCATAGGATGTTTGTTATATAAAAGCAGAATTTTTAATTTCTATGGTTGCCTCACATCTAGACTAATAACTTCAAACCTATTCAAGGTAAAAGATCCAAAAATCAAATCCTAGTTCTAGGTCTCAATCTTTAACATTCCAAAAGGAATTAAAATACCATTAGTTTGAAATATCTTATTAAAAGGATGTGATACAGTTAAGATAAAAATATTTATATATGCAGGAACCTCAAAAATAGAAAACTCACTGTCTAATTAATTTAATCTGTGATCAAAATAACTTCTCCAAGTCAAAAATTTGGCAATTTATACTACCAATCTAGTTCAAAACAGCTATGCCAAATACACCAAAATTGGAAAAAATCATTTTCCCTATGTATTTTTGCCAACTATTTCCTCAGCAGTAATAGCTCAATGGCAGTCATCTGCCACATGTATGTCAGAATATCATTAAAATCAGTATCTTTCCTTTACTAAAAACCTGAATCTAAACTGAAATAGTCAGGATGACAGATCATGGTTTTAAAAACACTAATACAAAAGATGTCTCCTTTCTATTTTCATATGTTTACCCAATGCACAGCCCTATATTTTGAAATCCTATTAGCGAGACAGTAATCAAATATTACTTCAATTCTTATGTTCAAGATAAAGAAGAGGGAGAGACAACTAATGTCTTTTTATAATCAAAAACATCCAGCAAAAACTGTCAGGCAACAAGAGGATAATGTGAAAAACAGTCCACACATTTGGAGAAGCAATCTCCTAAATAATTTTAACACTCCCTGTCTATGAAAGCTGAAAGATAAAACCCTCAGAAGATCTTGGCTGAAATGACGTAAGTGGATTTTTAGGGGGGGGTGAGGGCAAAGGGAATGGTTTTGCATTTTTGACATATTCTTTTCATTTGAGAACAATCTCAGAAACCTTAATTAAAGAAGGAAAACTTAAAACTAATCAACATACCAAAGAATAAGGAGCGACAAATCTGATTGCTTCAGTTTAAAAATCTAGGTTACCAATATCTTTATAGCCAGATAAATGCCCAGTAAATATAATTACTGCAGTTTTCAAAATCTGTGACCAAACTTAGCTGCAGAAAACAAATTACTGACAAAATGACCATAATTTGCTACTCGGTTGGCCTTTAACCAAAATATTTGTTTACAGACTATATTGAGAATGATTTGGCAAGGAAATGATGAGGATAAAATCTGCTAAACACTATCTGTTCTCAATAAGACAACTCAAATTTTCAGTCCAGAACTAATATTATTAGTTATTCCACTTTCTTTATCTTTTGGGCTTTTTGAAGCAAACTGTCTTACCCAATTACACACTTCCAAAATTTTCAATTAATAAAAATCTTTACAAGGAAACGATTTTACAATCACCAAAAAGCCAAAGGACAAGATGTGCAAGACTTTAGACAGCATCTGAGAAAGAATACAATCAGGGAATGGCTTTATCAAGGTGGGCAAAGTTCAGAATGGCAGAATTCCTTCCCTGCCGTCATGAATACACTGCAACTACTGCGGTTTGGTGACTGTCACTGGGTGCAGTAGTAAAACAGAAGGGAAAAGCCTGGTACAGAAAGCTGAATGGCCCAAAGAAAATCTAAGTGGTGACAAGAGCCTAAAGGCACATGCAGGTACGCATCTTTTATATTGGATGTGATACACTTACATGGCCCCTGTTGAATCTCTTGGGGACCAACAGTAAAGCAAGTTTAGAACTTCAAATCTTGAGACATCTATAGCAAGATGCTGATCCAATGTGGCTCCAAATATCTTCTGTTTTCCTGGCTCACCTGAAGAGGAAAAAACACTACAGAGGATGTGGGAACTGAATTTCTTTATGTAGTTTCTTTTAGAGCAACTGTCTGAAAGTTTTGGCCCAATCCTTTATGAAGTCTGGAGATGAGACACTTGAGGGACTAGTGAAAAACAAAATTCAAATGAAAAGGTGGAGTGAGCCATCTAAAAGGGGAATACGAGAGCAAAAGGTAATTGTTGTAGGTAAATCAGCGTTTCTGACCCTTATGTGGGAGGAGGCAGAGAAAGGAGAGGAAAAAAATGCACAGATGTTTCTCCCTCCACTCCCTCACCCCAATTGCTACTAAAATTTCATGACGTACCTAAACTTTTGACCACAATTAGGGAGTGAATAAGCAAGGTTACTTGGAAAGTTTAAGCATTTTGTCAAGTCTCCCTCTCCTGGCTCTGAGGCATTATTAAGCAGCAGGGAGGCCTTTCAGATAAAACTTTTTTTCTAAGAAAAGATTCTGGTGGAATACAGCTTGAAGCAATAAAGAAAGAGAAAAATAAATGCAATTTATACAAAAATGGAAGTCACAGGACAATATACCATATTAACCAAAGTTTATTTAATTCTGTTTTTCAAAAGGGGAGGGACCGCTTTCATGTAATAAGAAATCAGGACAAAAAGTAGTTTCCAAATAATAGAATATATTTTTAAACTAAGCAACACAAACTGCATGCTTCATCCCCTTAGGAAATATTACCCCTGGAAAGATAATCTTTATAAAAGACTAAGATTAGCAGAACCAAGTCTGATGTACATTACCACACAAAAGCATACAAGTGTCCTTAATGTTAAATTTAGATTTATTTCTAATTAACTTATTTTTTTCTTAAAACATTTTACCTAAATGTCATATTAGAGTTATTCTCCAGCATTCGTGTAATAGCCTAGAATATAAAACAATTTTCTTTCCAAATATATTCCATTTTAACCAGAGTATACTTGAACTATGTCTGGTAAAAATACCAGAATCTTCTGAAAAATAAGAATGGAGAACCAATTAGATCCTTACCTGACGTGGCTGTTCATTCATTCGTTGTGGATCTGATTTCACTTTATTATTAGGATGATTTGTGACTTTGGTTACTGGTTGTTTGAAAATTGATGCTGTTTGTCTAATTGGCAATGTTGTATTCAAGTCTGGTTTACCCTGTGGACATAAGTGTTTTAATTAATAAACATTATATATAAATATAATTAAATGAACTATTTTATTAATTCTATATCCACTACTTTAAATTAGATTGTCCCAAACTTCTCAATCTCATCATTTTAAAACTGTAAAGTCCATCTTAAGCATGTTATTATGTAAGACTTACGTAAAGTTTTCTCATAAAAAGCTTTTTGTATACTTTTAAATGTAAGAAAATTCTCTATATAAAATTCATAATTAATTTGATTAGCAAGATACTAGGGACTTATAAATGAACAAGTATGTTTAAGGTTGGGTTATACAAAAGGGACGGGGGCTTACAGGACAACAATCATTTCTACACTCTGAGAATGTAGGAAAATAATGGCACACGTGGTCATTAAAATATAAACAGCTGTCAGGCGGTCAGGCTTACATAAAACCACATAAGTTAATCTTCTCCTGTGTAAAAAAAGATAATTAGAAATGGTTCTTCTAATTCTCGCAAGCAGAACTCAATTTAGAACAATATAAGGAGGAAGATTCATTTTTAACATCCTATAGCACACTTAAAACTTTTTGAATAGAAACTTAAAATGGAAGTTTCAGAAAGTCAAACAACAGACTTATCTACTTTTAATCGGCTAGTAAAAAAATGTTAAGATGTGTTCTAGTGAAAACAAACAGTGGCATAGAATTGCTAAGTTCATTTAAAATACTCCAACAGTGGGGCTGGGTGCTGGAGAAAGAAAAAGGACAAAATGTGATTTAATCATTGTGTATTCTGATTTTGGCAAAAAAAATATAAAAGATCATGTATATCTGAGATATATATATATATATCTATCATAGTTTTAGTATAGAAATATACTTGCTAAATCTACAGGATATTCAATGAGCTTTATCTTTACATCTCCAGACAAAAATTGTATCAACTTCCAGGCTCCAGAACAGTGGTTCTCCAACTTCACTATGCACCAGCGTCACCCAGAGGGCTTATTAACACAGACTGTTGGGCCGCACGCCCAGAAGTTCCAACTCAGGAGGTCTGAGGTGGGACCTGGGAATGTGCATTTCTCTTACGGCCCAGGTGCTGCTGCAGGTCCAGGGACCAGACCTGGACCGCCACTGCCCTCAGACAAAGATTGCACACTGGTGGCAGGGAAACCAGGCCTAACCTATAGATGCCTTTTGTTTCATTTTGTAGTGTCTTTAATAAATTAAGCCAACATCTACAAATAAAATTCACATAAAATCCAGAATTCTAGCTTCACTTAAAAACCCAAAGATCTAGAAATACTGGCCTGACTCAGCCCACACAGGCCATGATTGACAAGTGGTGGCTGCCCACTAGAGGTGGTAAGAGTTCTCCTTTTGCAAAAGTCCACAACTCACATTTGTGGTACCTGTCTGAGCCCTTTGGGTATCAAGCTCGTGAAATGTGCTTAAAGAATAGTAGGATGACTAGAAAGGTAAGGGCCACAATAAATTAATCCGACCCTTATTAGAATTACAGTATTATTTGGACTCACTGGTAAATGTGCCTCCACCCCACCCCCAGCCCACCCCTACACACTCCTCGCTATGCGTACTGGCCATGCTTCTCATTCTTTTCTCTCACTCAGTTTTCTCACAATGTACGTGCTTACCTTTAAAAGATGTATTCATCATAAATAAATAATGCTATTTCAGGCATTTCACTTTCTTATCTTTATGGTTTTCCCATATAAATTTGATTTAGAGGTAGGCACACTTGGCCCACAGGCTGCTGAGTAACCACTTAGGATGCCATCTCTAAAAAGTGTGGGACCCAAGAATTTTTTTTTTAAAGCTCTCCTGGTAGTTCTGTGATGTGCAGAGGGTTTGGACCACCCTGATTTATAACATCTAGATTATCCTGAGGCCCTAAGTGAAGCCACTCAACCTATAAAATAGTCAATATTCAATCCTAAAGAAGCTTGATATATAAATGCTTGCAAAGAACTTTTCCTGTCATAATTAGTTATAATTAGTACCTATCACTGACAATACCTTAATTAGTTTTTAGTGTTTTTGGTCTTTAATAAAGAGCAATGTACTGTGCTGGTATTAGAACAAAGATGGTACCAGTAGACAAAGAAGTATATAGTGACTGTTTGAGCACACAGTCGGGCCTATTAAGATTCTCACTGTTACTGAGGATGACTGGCAGCAGCAAAGACTAGTCTAAACGATTCTAAACTATAAAATCCTGAATCCACGCAGACTAGGAACAAGCATGGAACATGTAAAACTACTGGTGCCACAGTGGTAAGATTGATCTTTTTTTTCCCATTAACTTATGTTTGCGCTGCAATAAATTAAAAGTTTGAAGAAAACGCTGGCTAAAACTATTTAAAATATACCATTCGCTTCCACTGTCTGACAATGAAACAGTTCATTTCCCAGTGTCATGGAATGAGATTACTCAAGAGTGTGCTGCATGGCTCTTCTCTTGATCTTATTTTGGTATTTATTACTTTTTTCTCCTTTTAACTGACTGAAAGCTCTGAACACAGACAGAATTTTTGTACTAATTAACTTTGTGTTCTACAACAGTGTCACGTAATCTGAAAAGCTGGACTAACTGGTTTTCCCAGAAACTGTTACAAAAACAGTAAATTTTATTACTGCTCTTCCCTGAACACTGTCAGAGTCCTTCATGCCCCGTTGCTGTCTGAGTTTTTCTAAATAACCACCCATCTGCCATAAACTTAGAAGCAAACACTTTAGGGGACAAGATTAAAGCTATTCAGATACCTGAAATCTTCCCTTTAATATTAAAAAAAAAGTGAAACAGAAGTTCCTTATAAAATTAAACTGACACACACATTCTAATATTAGAACTACAATTTTCCAAACTTTGATGAATCTCAGTATACAGGCTACCGCTCAAATCAAAGTTTAATGTATTTTATAATAATGTGTATATTAAGCAGGAAGTATTCAAGTAACTCAAATAATTTTTGAGGGTTTATTCTATTCCCCTGGGATGAATACAAAAATAAATCTTTATTTTGTAAGTTTTTACTTCATCTCTTTCCAATTAATATCTGAGAAGATGCTTTGAAACTCACAAAGGACAAATATGCAATAAAAATTAATTTAAAAATTGTTAAAAATCAAGGACGAGGAGAAAACAAATTTCCTTGGAAAAGGTTAATAGTGACGGATACTAGAGCTGAGCATCAAATGTAGATGTGAACTTTCTAGGGGTGTGGGTGAAAATTATACAGATACCATAGTCAGAAAGGAGGAAGCATACCAGTTAATGAGAAAAACAAAAACAGTTCTGGTATTAAAGCTAGCGAAAAAAAGTTAAAGACACTTAACATCACAACAAATATTAAGCAGACTTCCAAGTGCTGTTTCTTTTTCCAGTGACCTTTCATAAAAGCCGAGAACATATTTAAAGGACAACTCAGTGAAGATGAAAATGACTGAACCAGTGCGGCCTGATGATCGTGCAGACTTTCGGTGACCCAACCTGAGTAAGGCTAGCAAAGAGGGTGACTAAAGAGGTGGGTGAAGAGCATGTGTCATCAACCAGTAGTTTTCAAATACTGTTTCATTCCTACCCACTAAAATCAAAAAATATATATATTCATATATCCGCCCTACATTGTAAACTTGCCATCAAGAATATTCCATATTTTAAAGAGTTGCAAAGGATGCATTTACCAGATAGAGTATTTTAAATACTGACACTTCAATAATAAATTATTATATCATGTTACAGTGTGTCTAACAGAATCTAAATATACCCACCATCAACCATGTATAAAGGAACAAACTCTTCAACAGTAATTCATTTTATTTCACTCCTTTTTCTCTTTGGACTAATATTCCATTTCCAGAATTATTTCCTATTTTATACTTGAAAATGTTTAATTAATCATTTATTATCGTAGTTATTTAACTTTCTGTGACCATAAGCTTAGTGATTAAAAAATAAGTAAGTTACTTCTGGTTTATTACAATTAATAGTGTATAATTGACAAAAAGTGGTAAATTACATATTTTAATAAATAATTATTGAACACAGGCTATAAAAATTATATATATACATACATATAAAAGAAAATAATTGTTTATTTAAAAAATGAACTCCATGGCCTTGGATGAGTATTACTAAATGCTAGAATGGGATAAGATTTAATATCAATTCTATTCCTATTCTTCATTTTTTTTATGTTAACACCGAGAAACCTTGTTCACATAAATGAGAAAATGAATGAATTTTAGTCTGTCACTTAATTCTTTGGCCTTCTTTTGAGTACTATGTTAAAATATCACATAGTGAACCATCAAAAAATTTTAATAATCAACATCTACATTAACGCTTAATAAATTTTACTGCAGGCGAAGAACTGTATTAGCAGAAAGACTTAACTGTTACCAAGTCATCCATTTTGCCAGTGTCATCACCAACATTTCAAATTGTTCCTTTATTGGAGATCAAACATTCCATACCACAGTAAAACCACGAACAAGCGAGAGGTGTGCTATTCTTCTGTAAAATGGGAGAAAGCTGACTATGAAAGGGGAGCTAATGGGGGGAAGAACCTGTACCTCTGTCTCAGATACATTCTCAGAAGGAAGGACATAGAAACAACCCCTTTAAAACTACCCATGCTGCGATACCATGTAAAGCCTTTCACATGGCAAAGTTTGAACAGCAGGAACTTAAACTATATATTCTAAATACCACTTTTCTTAGCCTGGCGTTAAAATACAGTATATTCAGTAAATAGCTCACAGTTGTACATATTCTATGACAAGAGTCTTGAGGATTCATTTTACCCTTAAAATTCATGCAAATTCTGCATTTAATTTTTAAAATTAGTCCTGTTTGTTGTCATGTAAAAATGCTGCTCTTCCTACCCAAAAATGTTCAAATAAAACTGACACTTCCAAGTATCATTCAAGTAACATTTTAATTCTGTGGCTTTGCATACCCCCAAGAGATATTCATGCCCCGATTTGAGAAGTCTTTATTT